AAGCTGTGTGATAGGTGATATTATGTGTGATAGGTCAAAAAAAGCTGTGTGATACGGGATATTATGTGTGTAAGGTCAAAAAAAGCTGTGTGATGCATGATATTATGTGTGTAAGGTCAAAAAAAAAAAACTGGGATGAATGATTTGGTTTAAAATTCAGTGATGAATAAATTATGTGGGATTAGGTGGAACAAGGAGGATTATGCAGATCGGCACTTGCGCATCCTGTCTGAAGTTAGTACTGTACTAAGTTTAATACCATTTGCTGTTAACACAATACTCATATGCCAATTTTAATGGAAGAAGAAAAACAGAGTACTACGGAATCCACCATTCTGTGTGGAAATATTGGAAACATAGAGTAACTGTAGTTCTTCTCAGTGACTTAATTATTATTGTTCCATTTAACAGATTTGTTAGCTGTACTAGATCGTAATGTTGATGAACTGTCTGGTGGAGAACTGCAGCGTTTTGCTTGTGCAGTTGTGTGCATCCAACAAGCGAATGTGTAAGAACTAGAATTTTTATTTAGACTTGGTGGTTGTGTGACATTTATTTATTTATTTACTGTTTAAACTATAGCAAAATACGCTGTTTGCATGATAGTATCATTTTAAGGTAGTATGTAGCATCCAGCCATGACAGCGTAAGAAAATCATTTAAAAAGGGATTCTGGTAGTTAGTAGTGAATGATTCTATAAGGCCAAACAAAAAATAAATAAATAAGTGTGTTTCCTGTTGGGAGACCGACCCTAATTTTCTTTCAGATTTTTGCCCACCCTATTATTTTTTTCGTTCCCAAATGCACCACAGGGTTACCAGTGCAGTTCCCAATGCACTGCAGTTAAATTAATAAGTTGTTACAGTATGTAAAGGTACATGAGGAACCTAACCCTAGTTTAGGAATTAATTTAAGGTACAGCATGTAGCAATGAAAATGCCTGTAAAGTCATGTCCTAGATTATCGTACCACTTTCATTCTTCACTATCTCTCTTCTCATTGGCCAAGAACCACCCCTTAGTCAATCCATGATATCATGTGAACTCGACATGATAARTAATGTAATATCTGTAGGTTTTCCTGCAGATATTACATTTGTCATGTCAAGTTCATTCAAGGTCACAATGGGTATTGAATTATGTTTGGTTTGTTTAACACAATTAAATTTTTATTCTTAGTTTACAAAATGTATAATAAAACATTATTATTGAATCCAGTTTTCACATGATAACGTGAATTATAAAGACCTTGGCCGGTTGAACTGCTTCAGCCTACAGATAATTTTTGACATCACTCTCAACTACATCCAATAAGTGTAATGTTTGCCATGGTTTTAACTAAATGTTTTTATATTAATTCTATTTTAGTTACATGTTTGACGAGCCCTCAAGTTACTTGGATGTAAAGCAGCGTCTTAATGCCGCTAAGACAATTCGCACTTTGTTGACCAACGACAGGTCAGTTTCTTCTATCTGTGTGTAATTATTCACCAACTGGCCCCTAGATTGCACATGTTGTACTTGATGTTACTGTCACCATAAAGTATACACATGTTCAACTGTTGACAAATTTAGTGAAACTCCTCCATAGTTGATCGACTTTATTTGACTTGATTCCTTGCTACTTATCCTATCACAGAGGCTTTGCACCATCACGTATGTGATGGCAGCCATGACAGGAGGCACAACAATATAATCTTTCACCCCTTGGAAACTGAATTCTTTCTCAAATCAGATTAGACCAGATTCAATTATTATTGTTGATCCTGCCTACTGTCATGGGTGCTGTCAGATGATGGTGCAAAGCCTCTATATTTTTTATAATATTATAGTGTTTCAACTTTGTTTAAAATGGTACCTTTAAAGTAGTTTTTCAAGAAGGCTGAATAATGTAATAATGTAAGCTCGGAGCAGGAATATGAAAAAAAAATCAAAACAAAATGAAAAAATGAAAAATGAAAATGAAAACAAAAAAGTAGTAAAATGTAATTCCTGTTAATCAAAGTGATAGACTGTACATTTGTAGTACAATATTCAAAGACAATATGACTGTAATGCCAATGCACCACATGCAATCTACTGTAGGGGTATAATGGTAATGATAATTATCTAATGCTGAATATTCTAAATTTTTAAATACAAATTTTAGCAATTTTTTTCTTGTACAAACTAGTTATATAATAGATAATGTATCATTAATTTTGTACTTGAGCCTCAAGAATTTCGAATTCAAGTTATTCTCAATCTTTAAATGCAGATTTTGGCAATCTTTTGATGGTGCAAATTAGTTTTATGATTACAGTATGTACCATTTGCACTTCATCCTGGCCTCAAGAAATTCAATTTTTTTCTTCTCAAAGGTACATCATTGTTGTTGAGCATGACTTGAGTGTCCTTGACTACTTGTCTGACTACATCTGCTGTTTGTATGGAATGCCTGGAGCTTATGGTGTTGTCACTATGCCTTTCAGTGTTAGAGAAGGTAAGATCTTCAGAGACCTCTTACAACCAATTCCATTGCTACACTTCCTCACTAGACACAAGTCTAGACTTCTGAGCTGGCAATAGCCTTCTGTCAATAATAAACCTGATGAAGTCATCCTCATAGTATTCGAGTGGTCTTTATATAAAGATCACATGTGTCTTTATATAAAATCACTTGAATACTAATGAAGAGGACTTTATCGGTTATAAAGGTTCATGCATGTGACGTGTATGGTGGCTCCAATTGGACCATAAGCTTATGAATTATTAATGAGTGTTTTAAATATATGATAATCATCATCATCCTTTATGCCTGTGCAGCATGTAGGGCCAACACCAAGGACAAATATCTGTTAATAATATCCCAAAATTGGCACTTGCCCTCTTGACCAGCAATATTGACTAGTCACATGTTAATTATCAGTCTGATGTGTCTAGACTTGAGGACTGGCCATTGAGCAGCCATTGTTTTTAGCCATGAGCAAGAATGACATCCTGATCTACAAGTCAAGAATCTTGCAATAACTCCTAAACATAGCCACACTATTGTAGTAATATCATATTATGCAACACAGTATGTTGGGTTTGCCTTGTAAGCAATCAAATTTTAAGTATCATTAATGTATCAGGGTTCAACATAACAGTTGGTAAACGTGTCCAGCCAAACACCTCTCAAGCTGGTTCTTTTGACCAGCTATTTCCTATCCCAATGTGGCTTGACTTGATGACTGGTTTTGAGAAGCCATTACTTTTAGGCCTGCTTACTTAGTAAAGTCTGTTAGTCCAAATCCATGAATTCCTTGATAATAAATTTTGTTATGGTTAATAGTAGTGATTATATTCATGAAGTATATGAAATAAATGTATGTTTGATTCATCTTCTTCAGGTATCAATATCTTCTTGGATGGATTTGTTCCAACTGAAAATTTAAGGTTCAGAGAAACTTCACTGGTCTTCAAAGTATCTGAGACTGCAGACAAGGTAACAAAAGAAATATAAATCCTCTTTTCCATGCAGGAATATATGGTAAATAATAATAATAGTAGATTTACTTCGAGTGGAAAATGTGAATGTACTCTGTACGTGTGATTAGCAGATGGTTCACAGTGTGAGCCGATCAAAAAAAAGATTTAAACCATTGATTTCTGTAGTGTTAAGAGCGCTTGCCTCTTATTAAGACAAGTCAGGTTTGATTCCTGGATTTGATGTCTTTATATATGAGTAGAATGGTTTGTTGGTTCTCTCCTATGCTTCAAGGGTTTCATCCCTCCAAGGGTTTATGTCCAGGTTCTCTCCTGTGCTTCAAGGGTTTCATCCCTCCAAGGGTTGATGTCCAGGTTTTCATCCCTCCACAAAAATTGTTTTCTAAATTCCAATTGGAATTTAGTGAATAAAGAGCAACTCTTGAGAAATGCTGCTGTTAAATCCTATTTATTTATTTTTATTCTATTTATTTATTCATTCATTCGCCCATTCATTTATTCCTTCATTTCTCTCTTTACATATTTATTTTTTCATTTTATTTTATTTAATAAATATATTTGTTTTATGTATGTTGTTAACGTAAAGCACTTTAGAATATTGTATGTAATGCGCTATATAAATAATAAAGTTATCATTATTATTTAATATATATATTTACATATACATWTTATATTATATTTTATATTAGTTTTATATATTTCTTAAGGACTAGTGCATGTGCGTATTTTAAACGAGTATGTGAAATGCTCTTACAGTAGGCGTTATGTGGATAAATAAACTATTATTATTATTATTTATTTATCTATTTATTTATTATTTATTTTCATTGTGTAGGAAGAGGAAATCAAGAGAGTGCGTCGGTATGCCTACCCATCTATGTACAAAAAATTGAGTAAGTTTTCTGTATTTATAAAGAATGATCCAAATCAATATAATTTTAAATAATGCTAATTGTGTTTTTTAAAAAAGCCYTGATTTTACCCATGCTAATATTTAATATTTATGATTCCCTAATCATTTTCATTTTATTTTCCATGATATCAGAGGATTTCCAGTTGAACATTGATGCAGGAGAATTCACTGATTCTGAAATCATTGTAATGTTGGGAGAAAATGGTATGGAAATGACAAATTGGTTTATCAGCCTTCTTGCATTAATAGAGGAAAAAACAACCTTTTTGATGGGTGGGGTAGATGATTACAATCTTGCTAGTGGTTGGGGTAAAGTGGTACAATATTAATGATGGGTGTGGTAAAGCGGTACAATATTGATGATTGAGATAAAGTGGTACGATCATATTTTTTAGGGTAGAGGGGGAAAATCTTGATGATGGGGGGAGTTAAGGGGTACAATCTTGATGATGGGTGGGTTAAAGGGGTAC